TATAAAGAACTGTGAGTTTTTAATGCTTTAAAACACTGGTTTTTATTTTTTTATTACTTTACAACACTGCTTTAGCTTACATTTTTATTTGTCTTAACTTAAAGTCATATTTAAGATATTTATTTTTTGTCGTGGACACATTTAAATATATGTAAGCATATATTAACATAATTGTAAATATTGTTGTTGCTGCTGCTGGTGCTGGTGCTGCTGCTGCTGGTGGCTAAGTAATTAAGCCAAGTTGACAAACGTGGCCCGCAAATGTGTCTCCAATGTGTGATTAGTACATAACTTTACCTAATACCTAAGCATATAGAACGATATAAAGTACATACCGAATGTTTGCTTTTGCTGCTGCTGCTGCTGCAGTGGAAATGCCAATAAAAGTCAATTACATGCTTGCAATTTGCTAATGTAAATTAATTAGCAACTGTAACCCCAGAGTCGGTTGCTGCGGTGACTAGTTCATTAAGCGTCAAAGTTTTTATTTTTTCTCATTTTGGGTTAATTTTTTGTTGTTGCTGGTAAAAGTTGTAGCTGCTAAAAAAAAGTTGTGTGCGCGCATATTGAATTTAGTTTTGTAAAAATAATGAGGGTGAAACAAAAAAAAAAAAAGAATGAAATAACAACTCATTAGCGCTGGTCAAAGGTAAAAACACCAAAATTACATCAAGTATACGACACGTGGGTGCGCCAAATGAAATGCAAATAACATTAGCAACAGGGCAGCAACAAATCATTGTGCCCGAAAGGGTTGAAGATATCAACAACATTGTTGTTATTGTTGTTGTTGTAGTTGTTGCTGCTATTGTTGTCGCCCGCTTTAAGTGACACTTGCGTAATTTCGACAGGTGCTAAGAAAGTAAAAGACAACACTTTACACAAAGCGCTGAAGGAAAACAAAGGAAAAGCAGCAGCAACAACAGCGGAAAAGCCGAAAACGTAAACCGAAACCCTGCCAACTACAAAGGCGACAGCAGCAAAAACGGAAAAAAAGGAAAAGTTCGTGGAACAACAATTACAATGAGAGCTGGCTTGTGGGTTGAGCCTGGACGGACATTGTGCAGCTGTCGCATTGTTCCAACAGCGGCACCAAAAAAAAACAAAAATACTTTTTTTATTACACAATACAATAGCAATAACAATAACAATAATAATAATAGTAGTAGTAACAAGCGTGTTGCACAATGACAGATTTGTCTTCCGTTTTTCTTCTCGTCCAGACGCAACACGTGCGGATATAAATTGCGACTTGGCTACAACGGAAATAGTTGCTGTAAGCAGCAGCAGAAGCAGCAGCAGCAGCACCAGCAACACCAACAACTGACAGCATTACAAATTTTTGCAAATTAGTTGCACTTTAGCATTATTTAGTGCATAAAACGTCGCGGCTCGCAGCTGCATGACAAATTAGCAGCATAATAAAGTGCTTCACTCTGGTATTATATGAAAAATACGCAACATTTCTGCGTTTTTGGTTAACATGAAAAACGTGCAAAACAACAAATTCTATATGGGAGCATGTTTGAGACTAGGCAAATACCCTGTAGCTGACTTTAAATACGTTTAACGCAGTCTTCTGCTCATACATAATCATATGGATTTATTAATGGGGCTTATTAACATTTGTTCACCTCGTTTTAGGCATGGTTAGGGTTATAGGGTACAAAATTACACTACACAGATAAAGCTTAATCGTCAGGTATAAGAGATCGGAATTCGATCGAGTATGTGCGCAGTTTATGGGCTTACATTTGTAGCACATCTTTTGGTGCATAACCTGTTAAATAACTCTGTTAGACTCTAATTCTTCTTTTTAACATCTTTCATACCCCTTTTAGACAAAGTTTTTCTGTTTAAAACCCCTTTTGTACGTTTTTTTGGACTTGTTTTACGGAATATGGGCTCACATAGCCCGTTGCAAACTCTGTTGACACCCTGTTTTACACACTCTTATTGCTTTTTTATACCCCTTTTAGACTGCGTTTTTTTTTATTTTAAAACCCCTTTTTATAACTCTCTGTGTATTCATTATTCAGAATATAAGCACACTTTGTGATCTCACAGATGTAATTATTTGACTGATATACAGCCTGTTGCATTTCCCCTTGTTGCAGTTCTCCTTAGAAACCTTGTTTTAAGCCCATGAATTGCTGTTAAAAACCTCTACACATACCCTTTTTAGACACGTCTTCGATGCGCTTTTTACAAACCAATTGTGTCTCTTTATGGTCTCACAGATCGTGCCTTCTATGTGATACATTCCATCTCACATTCTCTGTTCGACATCCTGTTGGACACGCTTTTTCAAACCCTTTTATTGCTCTTTCAAACCTATTATAGACCCCTTTTGGATACGTTTGCCTTATTTCAAGTATTTTCACAGCCCCTTATGTCCCTTTAGAGGCTCGAAGATGTAGGCTTTAGGCTATTGAAACCTCTTTCAGCGATACATTTACCCTATTTGACGCCTTGTTTTTAATTATGCCTCTAGCATACCCCATTGCTCTGATTATAGGATATCAAATAACGTAACAGGCTTGTGTGCAGATTTGAAAAGCCAGCTTCATTTCTGTTCCTATTGCTGTGTTGCAAGGCAGACACAATTGCTGCGCATTGACACTACACCAAGTGTGTTAGTGTGTGTTGCACACTTTATACACATAGACATACACTCAGCTCGTGGCAATCCGCAGTCGTTAGCTGTGAGTCGTTTTGCTTTTTTCTAGTGAGTTGTTGTTTTTGTGTGTTTTCTGCGTTTTTTGCGTTAGCTACAGTTGGCTGCCTGGCAATTGTTTGGCCCAAAAGTATGCTACTTGTTTCAGTGATTTCGCACACACACACAATCACATACACACGCACACGTGGTAGCTGCAAAAACCCCATAAAGCTTAAAAAAAAAGAGTAGAGACGACAACGACATGCAAGTGAACAACCGTCCGCAGTTGTCGGCGTCGGAGTTGCCAACGCAACCGCAATACAACAACAACAAAAGCAACAACAACTAGAACAACAACAACAACAATAACAGCTGCAACATTATTAATAACAACAACACCAACATCAGGAAACGTAGCAGCAAAGTCGTGTATACAAAAGTTTGACAAAGTTTCAGGCAGTCAGTTCATGCCCACACGTCCACGCCCAAAACAAACGCCCACAGACACCGCACAGACACAGATACACACGCACACACACACGCACACACTCTCGCAAAGCCGTTCAGATTTCATTATAAGCATCGTTTATATGTATTCTTGTTAAATATTAATTAAAATATCTACATTTGTTGCCTTTTTTCTTCGTATTTGTGTTTTGCTTTTTGTACTCTATCGAGGGTAGGAAAAACTTGAACCCACTTCAAGCTTGTCATTGTTATTGTTATTATTTATAGATGTTTTTTGACTGTATGCTCTTATGCTTAATTTAAGCTAAGACATTTAATGTTGCTGGGAATGTGTACTCTAAACGTGATTATTTAGCTTCCGTGCAGACTATACAATTTTACTAGACTTTAGATTTCTTATGGTTTCACTTTTTACTCGAATGTACAGCATTGCACAACACGGGTCGTTTGTTTTTTTTTTTAATATGCCTTCTAGTTCCTCTTTAGAGCCAGTTGCGGCTAAGCTTTTGTGTTATATAAGCCTAGCTCGTAAACTGGTAACGTTCCGAATTGCATAGCAGTGCTCAACACTGTTAGCTTGTATAAACTTAATCATCATTTCTCCTTTTTACTTGTATATTTGCTTTCTTTTCGTTTTTTTTTAATACCTTATCAACTTCAGCCTACTGCTTACACTCTTACACTCATTGGCTTACCAAATGCCTCTTTGGGCAGCGTTTCACAACACTGGTAACAGTTATTTTGCAATATATTTCCTCTTATCAAACTATATGTCGTTCTGGCTTAGTTTGGCTTTAATAAAGAGCTTTAAGAAGCTTTGGCACACATCCTTGTACAGCTTACCCCACATATATAAACCTTATTGCATAGCATTGCCCAACACTGGCGACTCGTCTCTTAGCAAAGAATTTACATTATATCTTACCGCTTTAAAGGACATGCACACTTCGGCGTGCTGTGCCTCAATTTTTTGTCGTCTCCTTATATGCTGGCCTGCCTGTCATATGCTTTGTTTGACAGCATTGCACAGCACTGGCACAAAAAGTGCGACACGAACACTTCCGGTTTACGTTACAAGCTTTGGAATAAAACCGCAAGTAGCTGGGCAAAGGCGTTGCCAGCTCCTGTGCTGAAATTGTGTTTGCGAATCAATTTTAAATATTTGTGAGGTTTTTTTTTTTGATGTATTTGTTTTATTTATTCATTTATGTATTTATTTTGATTTTTTAAGCTTACATAATAGCATACATAACTTTTAGTTTTGCGTATTGTTTAAGTTTATTTTACTAAATTACATTTTGTGTTCGTTTTCGTGTTGTTGCTGTTGTTGTTGTTGCCAAAACATGATTGCATTTGCATTTGCATTTGCATTCGCATTTTGCAGCAAATTCGCTTAACTTTATTTTGCTGTTTAAGGCATGTATAAAAATAATAATGCAAATAAAATAAATGCAAGCCAAAACAAGAAAAAATTGAAAACAATTGAAAATTATTTTACAGCAAACTGCAAACATTTGCTGGGAAAAAAATGTATATATTATATTTGAATATGCTGCGTGCATAGAAAAAAATGCATGTTATTTCTGTATAGTATTTTGTGTGGTATTTTTTGTAGTATTTTCCTTCTTTTTTTTTGCTGCACATCAATCTCGTATCGTGCGGGACGCGGGATTAAGGCACAGCAATTGGCATTAATCATAAAATTAACTTAATTGCAGGCATTTCAATTCACTATTTAATTGCTTTGACCGCATGGGCGTGTCCCATTTTCGGGTGGGCGTGTCAAAGTGGGCATTAACAATTTTTTTTTTTAATATTATTTTTGTATGTATTTGTCGGTATTTTGGCTTACTTAGGGGCTGGGGCTTGGGTTTCATGGCAACAGGCGCGGATTGAAGCGGCCCATGAAGAGTATCATGCCCGTCGGATTGTGGCGCACAAAATAGAGGAAGGGCTTATCGAAGCGCAGCCGCGGAGCATCCGGCACACGCGCCTGACGCGGACGCAACGGCAGCGGCAGCTCCAAGTACTTGGGATCAAGCAGATCATCGTAGAAGCCGCGACCCAGAACGGACTCCTGCACCAGCGAACCAAAGTCCACAATTGCCTCGGACGAATCGTTGGCATCATCGTCTGTGGCATCCACATCCTTGTTGCGTTTACGCAACGGCGGCGCTGGATACATTTCGACGTGATGATGATCTGAGATCTTTTCCTCGCCGCAAGTGCTGAACGTATTGATCTGAATCATGTCCGAGAGGAATATGTCCCGATTGCCAGCGCCCGTCAGACCACGCAGATCGGCAAAGTCCGACTTGAACAGACCCTTCAAGCCCATCTTCTGCAGACCCAGCGAGGCATTGACAAACGAGCGATGCGAGAATCGCGGCAGCTGTACCTCCATGCCCGGCCGGTCCATCAGGGAGGTCAACAAATTGCTCCAGGCATTGCCCTGGCCGAATGCCAGTTCGACCAGATTGCGCTCCAGACGATCCAGATTGTCGGTGGGCGACACCGAGCTCTGATGTCCGGGCATCACGTATATGGTGCTCACAGTGTCCTGAATGCTTCCAAAGGCCACCACTGTGGCATCCAGCTTGGGCTCATAGCCAGCCGTAAAGCCGGAGCGATAGAGGACCGCGGGTATGGGCACCAGGCGACGCTGACGCACCGTCGGATGCACTTGGAAGAACATCTCGCCATCGCGATCCGTTGTCGAGCCGCGCGAGCAATCGGTCTGGAAGAGATTCGCCGACACCGTGGCCAGCGGACCATTTACCCAAACGCTATTCGTGCGCAAATACTCCAGAACCTTGCCCATTGTGTGACGCTTGACCAGCAGGTTGGTGCGACGACGCACAATATCATTGACCACATGGAAGTTAACCTCCTCCACATGGCCGCCATAGAGCTGTTGCGTCTTCTCCTTGAAGAAGGGCAATATTTTGCCATTGGCCCGATCGCTGAAGATTTCGCGCACAAAGGCAGCTGTGGCGATGTCGCTCTCAAGGGACTGCTCCACGGAGTTGGTTATGTTGCGGAATATCAGATGCGGATTAAAGCTAACCATATCGTCCAGCTTAAGTATTTCGTTCATTTCGCCCGATGTGCTGCCGCGTGCGCCCAAGAACACCATGGACAGCATCGAGGTCAAAGCAAATGGTGAGATGACCAAGCTTCTGGCCGAGCTAATCTTCTCCGAGGTTATGGCCTTCCAGTAGCTAAACGCCAGCTCATTACACAGCCGGGCAAACGAGAGCACATCCTCGTCCAGTCGTGCCGTCGATGCCTCCAAACCCTGCGAACTCTGCGGACTTGGCTCCAGTTTGACGGGCGGACGTGTTGCCTGCGTGGAGGCGGCCATCAGATTGGTCAGCGAGGCGGGACGTTGCATCGGACGCTGGCCTAGGTTGTTGCTGTTGGCATTGTAGGGCAGCACCTTGGGCGGCTGTGGCTCCAGCTGATTGTAGCCGCCGAGCAGTGAGGGCTGCACATAGTACGAAACGGGTTTCAGCGTGTGCAGCCGCTTGGTTGTGGTGCTGATGGTTGGGCTGCTGGTGGTGCTGGTAATAGTTGTGGATGTGGGCGTGGTCGTGCTGCTGGTCGTTGTAGCCGCCTTTTCGGTTGTGCTGCTGCTGGGCAGAAGCATGGGCAGCTGATAGTCGGTCTGATCCTCCTCATCCTCTTCGTCCGCTTGCTGATTGCCATAGCTGGCCAGGGGCAAGGTGAGATGGTAATTCGTCTGTGGCTCCGGTTTCTGTTCCAGCGACTGCTCCTGTTCCACCTTGTAGATCTGCTGCCCCTGTTGCTTCTCCTGCTGCTGCTGCTCCACGGATTGGTTAGGTGTGCTCTTATCCTCCGTACTGGCCAAATGCTGCGGCCTCACCACACTGGCCGTTGTCTCGCCCAGCTTCACATAAGGATCCTCATCGTCTAGCGTATATTGCTGTGCACTTGTGGTATCCTCCTCTGTTAGCGTGGCTGTCAGCTCATCGGATATATCCTCCAGTGCTTCCTCATTTAGGTCCATGGTGCGCACTGTGCTCAGCTCGAGCTTTTCCGTGACCTGCTCGGAGCTGAGCGACATGTCCGATTCGGATGAGACGACGGACATATCACCGGGTATTTCCGTGGCCAGCTCGCCTCTGTTTGTTGTCGACTGCTCCTGCTGTTGCTGCTGTTCCTCCTTCTCCGTATCCTCCTCCTGCTCTTCTACTGCAGCAGGCTGTGCGCTGTACTGCGGCTGCAGCTGTGCAGCATTTGTGGCGCTATCCTCGACACTTTGCATCGGCTCCTCCTCCATCAACTCCTCTGTTTTTGCATCCTCTTCGCTTTTCTCTGTTTGCTGTTGTTCCTTCTCGCTGGATGTTTGCTCTTGTGCGTCCTGGTAAACATTTGTTGACCCAGCTGCTGTTGTTGTTGTTGTTACTGCTGTTGCCAGCTCCTCGACTGCCGGCACCTGCTCGGTGGTGTCTGCCTCCAACTGTTCTGTTGTGGCTTCCGCTTGGATTTGCTCGTTGTAACCATTTGTCAACATTTCGGGCATTTGCTCCTCGCTATCGCGCTCCGGCGCGTCTGGCTTTTCGTCGTGCAGCTGCTCCACGCCTGACACCGTTGTCACCTCTTCAGGCAAGCTGGTCTCCTTGCTGCTCTCCTCCGCCTGCTGCACTTGCTCAATCGTTGCTGCTGTTGCTGCTTCCGTGGTGTCTGCTGTCGGCATTGTTGTTGCCTCCAGCTGCTGTTCCTTCTGCTGTTCTTCGAGCTGCTGCTGCTGCTCCTCTTCCTGCTGCTGCTGTTCTTCTTCGTGCTTCTCATTCTGATTCTCCGCCTGCTGCTGCGTCTCCGCCTGCTGCTGTTTCTCCGCCTGCTGCTGCTTCTCCGTCTGCTGCTGCTCGTTCGTCTTTTCCTCCTCAATGACTTCCTGTTTGTCTGCTGCTTCGGTTGGTTTAAGGAGCTCTATTCTCTCCGAGTCGAACAGTTGCTGTTCATCATCATCCTCGTCCTGCTGCTGCTGCGCATAAATTTGCGATAGCGACAACACGGGCAACCGCCATGTGCTGCTCTCCACCAGAGCTGGCCCCGGTGCTGGCGTATTGATGTAATCAGCTTCCTGTTTGCTGTGCTCCTCTTGGCTGGGTCGCACAGTTGTGATTTCCTGCTCCGTCGCCAGCTTCGTCGGTTCCTCCGTTGTGCTTGGCCTTGGCGGCAACAGAAATGATGTATTCAGCTGGGCAAAGTTGGTCAAACGATGCGAGTCATCAGCCGGCTTGTATGTCTCATCATCCTGTGTGATTTGCTGTATAACATCGGACATGAGGAACTGCAGCTCATTCTTGGTCTCGTTCGAGTTCATATAGATGTCGGAGACAAGTGTATTGCTGCCATCCACCAGGGTGGAGGCAACCGTGGCTGCCTGTGTCTGGAAATTGCCCATGGAGATTTGATCGGTTGGCTTGAGCACCTCCAGATTGAGCTGCTGCACCAGATTGGCTATCATTGGCGTTACCTCAGTGCTATTCTCGTCATCGGCATTGGTGGTGCTGGTGGTGCGGTCCGTGACGGGCAAACGTGCCGCTGACATTTCGGTGGTTGTCTCCTCGTTGGTCTCGGGTTGCTCGGTCAGCTCGGCGACCACAGCCTCGGGCACATCCGCATACAGGGGCTCGAATTTGACCACATGATTGGCTTCAGCTGTGGGCTTGTCTGTGGTTGCCGCCTCCATCTCGCTCTCGTCGTATGCCGCCATGGGCGTGGTCAGCAAGAACTGCATATGACTGGGCAGCTCTGTTGTCTCCGGCTCCGGCTTGGCCGTGGACAGTAGCGGCTGCGCCGGTGCCTGGTTGGTTGTAAAGTACTGCGGTCTTGCGGTTATTAGCACAACGGGCGTTTGCTCCTCCTCCTCTGCTCCGACCTCCATGCTGCTCAGCGTGGTTTGCTGCTGGTTGCCCGTGGATTCGGTGGACTCTTCCTTGTCTTCACTCGTACTCGTCCCCTCCTCATCCAGCATGGTGGCCAGCGTGCTGCCGCCATAGTGCGCGGTCAGCGGCTTCGGCGTAGTCGCAGCTGTTGTGCTTGTCCTGGGCGCTGCGGTTGTTGTTGTTGTCGTGGTGGTGCTAGTGGTTGTTGTTGAGGTTGTGGTGCTGCTGCTGATGGGCACCTTCTTGTTGTTGGCCAAAGTTTCCATCTGCTCCTTGCTGTCCGCACTGTCGTATTTCACAGGTGCCGCATTGTCATTCTTCTTATCGCCAGCCAACAGATCCTGTGTCAGGCTCTGCACAATCTGATCCATGGAGAGCATTTGCACCGCCGACAATTGTGCTGCCTGGTGTGAAGGTGGTGCGCTCTGTTGCAGCTGTTGTTGCAACATAGCCAGCGATGGCAACGGCAGCGGCGTCTTCTTCAGCTGCGTCTTATCCTCCTTGACCGCCTCCTGCACAGCCACAATTGTGGGCAAATTCTCGGTGGCCTCCGCATCGTAGCTGGGCACGGGATACACGGGCGCATGTGTGGTGCTGGTGGTTGTTGTTGTGCTCTTAACTGGCTTGGCATTGTTGTGGCCATAGCTGGCGGCCAACTTGCTGGCCTCAGTGGTTGCTGCGCTGTGCACAGGCTTGCCGTGTATTTTCTGGTGATGCAGCGTTGTGGGTCGCTTGCTAGTGGTGCTGGCATGCGCGGGCTTGCCATGCAGCTTCTCATAATGCAGTGTAGGTGGCCGCCAAGTGCTGGTGCTGCTGCTTGGAGCAGCGGTTGTTGAGGTTGCAGCTGTCGTTGTGGTTGCAGCTGTGGTGGTGGTTCTGGGCGCCTCTGTAGTTGTCGTTGTTGTCGTTGGAGCGGGCTTGTGATGCACGGGCTCGTGTTGCACGGGCTTGTGGTGCACGGGCTCCTGTTGCTCGGTATCGTGTGGTGCTGCAATTTCCGCTGATTCATGCTGTGGTGCAGTTGGCTCAGTTGCAACTGTTGTTGTTGAGCTGGTGGTGGGCGCCACGGTGGTTGTTGTCATCGTTGTGCTACTGCTCGTTGTGGGCTTGGGCTTCTTTTGCGGCCGATGCGGACGCGCTGGCTTTTGTGTGCTGACCTCCTGCTGCTGTGGGGCAGTGGCTGCAGCTGCCTGTTCAGGGACTTGGTGGTGCTGATGTTGTTGTGGCTTGGGCTTGGTGGTTGGCTTGCGTTTTGGTTTGCTGGGCTTGCTGCTGCTGCCGCCGTTGTTGCCCGTGTGCCCAGGTGTGCGCGTGGGCTTGCGCTTCTTCTTCTTGGGCGTGGTCGAGACAGGTGCTTGAGTGGTTGTTGTTGTCTCTGGTGCTGCTGTTGCGGTCTCAGCGGGTGCATTTGCTGGGGGTGCTGGTGTGGTTGTGGTGGTGGAGGTGGTGCTGGTGCTGGTGGTGCTGGTTGTTGGCTTCTTCTTTACCTTTTGCTTGCCGCTAGTCGGTTGAGTGGTGCTGCTCGTGCTGCCGCTGGGTTTCTTCACGCGATGTGGTTGTGTGGGCTTGCGGTGCACATTGCCCGGCTTTTTGGCCAGCTGATGCTGCTGTTCAGTGGTGCTGTTCGAGGCACTGGGCGTGTGTACTATCTCCTGATTGTTGTAGAAGACGCGTCGTGTGGTTGTCTCAGGCCTGGCGGTGGTGCTGGGCAGTTTCTGGTAAATGGGCTGCATGTGCGCGATATCAAAGTCGTGCATATTGGCCGCTGCCTGCTGATATTGCTGTATGCCCGTGTAGACGGACTCCAATGGATCCAAATCCTCCTGCACCACTTGCGGTGTCATCTCGGTGGTGCTGGTGCTCGGCTTACGTTGGTTGCCCGGCTTGCGCTTGGCGGGCTTTGGCTTCTTGGTCGCACGCTGTGTGGTGGGCGCGGCACGTGTCGAAGTGTCCAGCACCTCCGATTCGGGTGTCATCACAATTTGCTGGGGCTTCTGTTGGGGGAATATATCGCCGCCCGTATTGCCAAAGATGGCTGGCAATATAAGCGACCAGGAGGAGGAGACGTCAGGTGTGTCCAGCACGGGCAACAGCTCGCCAGAGCTGTTCTTCGAGGAGCTGCTGGCCACCTCCTTGTTGAGCACATTTTGCACACTATCCACAATATCCTGTACCTTCTTCTCCGGCTCGTGCTCCAGCTGCGGAGCCGTGTGTATTATCGAGGGTCCCTCGCCGTCGCCATTGGCCACAATGCTCTGGATTTCCTGCATGGTCATCAGACGCTTCACTAGCTCGCCATGCTCATCGAAGGTATAGAACTCATAGCGATCGGGATTGAGCAGATCTATGGGACTGGCCACCTGCAGCGAGGGCTGCGGCTTGGGCACCTTCTGGCCCAGGGCATCCGTAAATTGCGGCTCATTGCCGTCGAGCACCACGGACACCGAGGAGACCAAGCTGTCGGGTAAGAAAAAAAAAAATAGCATATGTTATCGAGTGCCGGAGTGACAGTGATTAATGGCAAATAAATGTGATAAAGTTGGAAATCTCAAAGTCATGCTGCATACTTTGCGGCGCCTTCGCTGGCATTTTAATGGAAATTGAATGCAGCCTGCAATCGCAGCACCAAAGTCACACAGTCACGCTCGAACCCAACCCAACCCAATCCAACCCAACTGCCTGCTGCATTTGCATTCGCATTCGCCTAGCTGGCAGTTAGTTAACATAGCTACACGTTGCTGTATACCAGGCAGATACCAGCCAGCAGCTACATACTTTGTAAAGATAGACTCTCGTATGGCACATCATTAACATTTAAGCACGTGAGTCGCGCGTGCCTCGTCATATGCAGCTGTTGCTTCTATATATGTCTAACTGCATGTCATACATCTGTCCAACTGTCTGGCTGCCAGTTCGGCTGTGATAAATATCCATGCAGCTAAAAATTACGCCGAGGCTGGCAAATAATTGAGCACATGCATATGCTCACTAATTTTAAGCACCTGAGTTTAAATTTTAAAAGTTGTGCGGTGCTGAGAATATATATCGAATCTATTAGAAACAGTTTGTGCATCAAGGCCTCGTCTTAAGGTTTGATTCAACGTGCTGGTTCAAACCAGGACCTTTACATTCCCAGCAATTAACTAATTTTCTGCTAGCAAGTGGATATATATTTTATTAATTCAACCACGAAGCTGCCCTATATCTATGACTACCAATTTTTTGCTACATTTTTTATGCTTTTGCCTTCCATTTCCCTTCAGGCAAAGCTTTTAATGACAATGGAAATCCCTTTAAAAAATATATATACATATATATTTATTTATAATTATATATATGTAATTTTACATAATTAATTTATATGCTTTTGACAGCCCGATTAAAATAAGCTAAAATTAAAACGGGCCTTTTCATGTGCTTAAAAAACAGAATGATTATGATTTAAATTGTATTTAATACATTTTTAGCTTCAATGAGCATATTAAAATAATGTCTCAATGGGATAAATAAGCACATTTAAAAATTATATTTATCACAAAAAATTAAGATAAAAAATGTAAAATAATAAAAAACAAAGGATTATATAAATTTAAATGCGCATAATTATTGTATTTCAAATAAAAATGAAAGAAAAAGTGAATTTTTTTAAAGCACATAATTAACGTAGTTATTCAATTAAAAAAAATTTCTCTGCCATTTGATAAAAATCCATACGCTCCTTTTAAATTAAAAATTGTTTTTCAATTGTTTTTTTTTTCTTTGCCTTGGTTGTATTTCAATTTTTGTTAATGACAAACGGCAGGAAATTGCCAATGAAATGAAACACAAATAAACATTTGTATGCATTTTATTTATGTATTGTGGAAACAAAACGATAAACCGCCGAGTCGATTGATGCATAACACAAGAGACGCTCGGATATCTGACTGTATTATCAAGGGCGCCTCCAACAGGCGTATTATCATTATTATTATCATAATGAAAGACCCGCAGCGGCAGCTGCTCGTTATCATTATCAGGCCGAGTAACCGAGCACTGTCGGCCATATGCCGCGATGTCTGTGAATTTGTTTATGCGCCGGAATTAATATGAAACGACGCGAGAATCCTGCACTCAACAGAACAGAAGCAGAAGAAAATCGGCAACAAAAATATTAATTTTCATGAAAATTTCTACCCCGAACAGCTGTGCTTAAGGGTTGCGCGACTTAACCAAGCCCCAAACATTAGCGAGTTTGTATAAGTGTGCTCTGGTCGGGTACGCACGACTGGGAAATGCCCTAAGGACAGCTTCTGTTACAAATAAGTATGCCAGCTTTTCTCTCTACATACATACGACTGGGAAATGCCATAAGGGCAGCGCCAAGCTGCCGTTACAAATATTCTAGCTTTTTTTCTCTGCATCCTTTTTCCCTTAGTCCTATACAATATATAGGAAAATACTCTTGAGTAACTTTGGTTTTTATAGTCCGATCTTTATGAACTTTTCATGGCTTAAATATGGAAAAACAAAGATGTGTGTATACCAAAGTGCAAGGCTCTATACCATAAAATATGGTATTTTTTTATGCATTTTAGGGAAATAGGTATATTATATAGTATATAGTTTATACTATACGATGGGATATATACCAAGTCTTTTGCATCTAGCTTTTATAACTTTCGAGTGCTTCACAATCGATATTTATCGATATTTTTGTACTCGATAGTAATCGATCGATAACTATTTATAATTTGTATAATCAACATTTATCTATAGTCTGCAACCGATGTTTATCGATGTATTTGTAATCAAAATTCATTGATCGATATTTTGTTTTTGGTATTTATCGATATTTTAATGGACATATATGGATATTTTAATCGATACGTTGTTATAAATATTTAAAGATATTTCAATCGGTATTTTGTAATCAATATTTTTCGATATTTTGTAATCGAATCAAAATCGTGCTGCCTTTGGCATGAATCATAAACAGACAAAGCCCATGGGAACGAAGAGTGCGCCGGAAAAGCCAACTGATTAGCATTGATTTGAACTTAATGAGCACTCAATTTGTGCCAGGCTTTTTGTTGTTGTTTTGCTTTGTTTTTTTTAATTTCCATTTTTGATTTTGTTGTTTTTTTTTCTTCTTAAATGCCGCGTCGCTAGGTATGCCACGTGTTTTATTGTTGTGGGGTCGGCGCAGACCGCCCGTCAAGTGGCGCCTGTTGAGCAAATTAATTAAAATACTAAGGCATTTGCCAACTGACCACGCCCTCCAGCCCCAACAACAAAAGGGAAATTCTATTTCAATTAGTGGCAAAAATTGCAAAAAGCTGTGCAAACAAAAGACTTTGCCTAACGACCAGCGACAACAACAACAACAAAAACAACAAACGCAAACAAAGGCAGCGCTGGCCTAAAGTGGAATAGGTTTGGCTGGTTTGGGTTGTTTGGGTGGTTTGCCTCTCTGCTATGTGAAAAAAAAAATAGACACGCACATCAGCCAGTTCTGTGTGTCTGCGTGCACTCACCTGGAACCGATGACTTTCTTTGATGCCACCTCAGCTGTGGTTGAGGCCGCACCGTTGCTGGCGGGATGCGTCTCCTGCTTTGGCACAGACGCCTCGTACACAATGGCCGGCTGCATGGCACTGGGAGCTGGCTCATGCTTGTGGCTGGACGTGCTCGATGTAGTCAGATAGGTGTAGATTGGCTGCTTCGACTGTGTGTTGCTGTTGATGTTGGGATAGGCCGCAGCAACGGCGGCGCCCAGCGTCAGGCAGAGCAGCCCTAACAGCTGTAAACGCATTGTGTCCTAGTCCCTAGTCCCTGGTGCTTAGTCCCTAGTTCCTTTCGTCCACACTCGGCTTTTTCTCTCCGTCTTCCTCTCTTCCTCTCTCGCTCTCTCTCTCCCTCTATCTGTGTTGATTTTAACTGCGCGTTTGTTTTTGTTTGAGCTTCAGCTTAAGTAAAAAACTTGCTTCTGTGACCTTTGGCCGTTTAATGTTAAGCGCGGGGCGAATGTTGCGTAAACATGAAGCGTGGCAGAGCTGCAAAAATAAAATGAAAACAATGAAAAACTAATTAATGCAATGTACAAGAAAATGCCCCAGTTAGATGGATAGCCATAAACCGAATTACAATTTACAAATAGATTTTTTTTTTGTTTTTAAACAATTTCTTGAGCTTGTAATAAACAAACACATTGTAATTTAACTAATTTATTTTAAGTGATAATTTAATACTTCTATTTAAAAGCTCAAACTATGTCTTTAGTATTTGCTTTTGTTATTGAAATTCGTGTGCGGCTTTAATGTGGCATGGCAGGAGGCGCCTGTGGCAGGCTTTTAGACTGTCATAATCAGGTTGCACAGCCAATTGCCTAGCCACCTGAACCCCAAAGCCGCAGCACGCTAATGCGCCTGTAATTATGCTAATAATAACGAGCAGCCACAGGAGCGTGTGTTTGTGTGCGTGTGTGTGTTGCATTGCTTAAAATGCCTTTGGAGAGGCAGCTGCAGCCTACGCGACGTCTTTGCAGCTTAAGCATGTTTTCAACTCCCTTCAACTTCCTCGACACCACTCTCTTCGCCAGCCCCCTCCTCTTCAGCTGAAGTGCACGGCAATTTGGGCATAAGTTGCCTGGCATATGCATATGCACACATCTATTTGCAACTTGATGCAGCAGCTGCTGCACTTTACAGGCGCTTATAACAGGGCACGCTTTAATCTTGTCTTTAATCATTCCAGCATTCAGGTGGGGCCGGCATTTGGCCATGTTATTATACGCATTAAGCAGAGTTCAGCTGTCAGACCTTATCATTTGCACAAATCTCCAGCTGACAGCAAAGTTTTCACATGCCAAATATAAATACTTTGTTGGCAAAAGTATTTCTACACCCTGCATAAATTCCTAATTGGGCGAGCATATTATTTCCACATAAAGGCAACATGCATACGAGCTTGCGCTGTTGTGTCTGTTATCGATAATTATCGATCCGAAGGATTCTAGCAGCTCTACGTAGGGTTAGTAAGCTTTGCAAGGCGTATTATTCATTAAGATCGATAAAACCTCTCTAATCCCAAGTATTTATTTCGATAATCAACGACAATTTTTTTCCATTTCAAATATATATGTCTAGTGTACGTATTACTTAGATATATCGATAATAATCAGTTATATACTTTGAGTTTTCCTACCAAGCGTGCATCATTTATGTAAGCCTTAAGTACATTTATGAAAAGCGTGTTATCGATTACAATCGATAGACATCTCACCATCGTGCCCCATATGCATGTCAATTCGATACATATAGTTTGTTGCATAGATCGATAAATATTCAAATCGATCACAGACTTAAAAATCGCGATAGAATTAAATGTTCTACTGCTTTTCGATAACAAATGCAGTCGTACCCCTTGTGCATCGAAAACTTTTACAGGCTATCGGAGAGTTGTATATTTCGGATATTGTTTTTGGGCAAAAGTTTTTGGGTTTTGTTTTTAGGGTTTGTCGGAAAGCTTTCGTGTGCTGGTGATAACAAAATGAATTGTCAATGGCGCGACAAGCGCAAAACAACAATATGTTAATTAGCGCCAATGCTAACAAGAGCAACAACAACAACAATAACAACAACAACAGCAACAACAACAGGTACAATAACAAAAACAACAGCAACAACAATTCTAGCAAAAACAATGACAATAACAATAATATGGCTAAAGAACGCGCTGACAACTTAAAGCCTTTGCTGTCAAAATGTTAACAGAAAGCCAGGACACACATGTGAGTGTGTGTGTGTGTAAGTGTGTGTGCAATGAACCCCAAAACTTTTGCCAAAGCACGTACACCCATATATGTGTGTGTATATATCCATATAAAGCATACTATAAGCAGGCTAAACAATTTTTGTCCAATGCGAAAAAAATCGCGCATAAATATCGAGGCGGGCCATAAAAATATGTTGTGCATGTGTGTGTGTGTGTGTCTATTGGTGTGTGTTTATGGCTAAACTGTGGGCAAATTAACATAAATTGTGCGTAAAATATTTCAACACATTTGTGAGAAATGCTTTAGGCAGCTGCTGCTGCTGCTGCTGCTGCTTTTCCTCGGGCATTTCCACAGGACATCAACGCGCGGACAAAGAGGGCAGCCGGGTGGGTTGGGGCTGTTGGGGCTGCTTGGCTATAACTTGACAATTGATTTGTAACGGTAAATTACGAAATGTCAGCATTCTGAAGTTTACAACTCGAAACGAACCTGACATTGAAAATGTAAATGAAATGCAAGAACCGAAAAATAGCTGCTGCCTCTGTATGCGAGTACCAAGGGCGGGGCAGTCCGAGTTCTGAGGGTTAGTTAGCTGTGGGCAGCAGCATTGAAGACCGACTCTGCTTGGCATTGTCTGCATGACAATGACGCTGAGTGACATGACAAGTGGACGACATACAGACGTCACACGGACACAGACACAGTCCCGAATGTAACAAAACCGGAGCAAACACTAGAAGAAAGTGCGGTCGTTCAGGGTTTGGTTTAAGGGCACAAACGAGAGCACAAGATTGAAGCTGACAGCTGTAGGGACAAGGAATACACACATACACACCAGCACACTCTGTGCTCGTTTGTTTAAACAAATCAGCCAGACATTTACATACTTTATATATAGATATATGCACTTGCCCTACACACACGCACACACACACACAAGCCGCAAATACTTTTGGGTATACAATAAATCAAACCGAGAAAACGACAGAAGCACAATGCAAAAAGGTGTATTTAGACGAAATGACAGTTTCGGCCATGTGTCTGACAGATTTTGTAAAGCACTTGAGGCCTTATTTTGATGCCGCGTGGGTAGTTCGAAGAGTTATCCAAGCAACTGGCCAAGGGTCTAGGAAAATAAATGTTGATCTCTCGAACTTGTGCAACTCCAGAGTTTTATACTAGAGAATTATCCAGCCTTAGGCAGGCTGAGATTTTCTTAGCTTCTGGGACTTTTGAGAAATGATGCCTTGAAACTAGGATAAAATCAATGCATTGTAATATACAATAAGACAAAGCAGAGCAATCAGCATATTTATAGAAATTCCAGACAGTTTCTATACTCTACAGAAAACAATTCCAAGCGGTGCTGATCCCAAACATTTCAAGAAGTTCCAGCATATATTTAGAATTAAGTTATCAAAGTTCGAATCCGAAATTGCTTTTCTTTTTCAAATCTATCCATAAACTAACCCGCGTGCCCTTATCTCACGATTGTCAACTGATTGAGCTGTGTATTTCTAAGCAAATGGTTCAAACCCGCAAACCCTTTCCGTATCAGCTAAGAAAGACATATTTCTGAGAGCCAAGCCCTAAAATAAAACTAGCTAAATGAAAAGCCTCTCTAATATGTGTTGTACAAATGCCAATTAAATGAACTATGTCTAAAATGAATACTCCAACAGGTGTGTTCATTGGCTGCTTAAGACATTTGGCCAAGAGTCCACTTGAGTCCACCTGAAAACAAAGAACAAACCAAACAATTTTCATGTTGCGTGTGCTCGCAATACAAAAGAAATTGCTTTTTGGGGCTAACCCAAAACTAAACAAAGGCAAAACAAGCAACAATCAATTGGGCCACTTACACACACCACACACGCACACACACACACACTACACTTTAGAGAGTGTGTGTGCTCCGCAAAGTTTGAAACAGTTTTGCGATGCGTTGACTACTTTTGACCAGCGAAAATGTGTCACGTTTCTTTTGTGGAAAATTAAGATTATTCTCGCTCCCCCCACATTAACTTATTTTGGGGCTCGTTTTTGGCTTGTTGGACATTGATTTTTTTACGTGAGTACTTGAATCAGTCTTTGTTTGCGGCAGCAAACTTAAAGCAAATTACATTCGATTCTTATTTTGGCCAAAGAGAAGTGATTCACAAATCGCTTTGGCGCTCTGGTGCTCAGCTTTAAGGGCCAAAAATCACAGGCGATACAAAATACACTCGTAATTCACACATTGGCAGCCAGTCGACTCTGTAAGCGCTGCCACCCTCGGCCTCCCCTTACCAATGCGCGCCGCACCCAATGCAATTGAGTCTCAGTAACACATAAGCAAAGCTGTTGAGTATGTTTCTTGGCCATTTTTTTCTTAGCTTTTTGTATTACCCTGTGCTCAGGCAGTGTCCGAAGTGAGGCATGCTAAAGTTGAAGAAATTTGGAATACGTACTTTTGAGTACTACTCATACTTATAATCGCTGAATACTCAGTACATTTAAGTACTACTCATACTTATACACTTACACGCTAATTACTAAGTATCGGAATTTTTCGTTTAGGCTCTTTATTTATGTAAAGAAATTTATACTCGCTGACTAGCCAGTATCGAAAGTACTCATGTATTCTCTCTACTTGTGTTAAAAGATTTACAATGAGTACATTTAAGTACTGCTCACGCTCACGCTGACTACTTCGTATAGGCAATACTGATTTAGGCTCTTTACTTAGGCAATGAATACTTCTGAGTACTATTCAGAATTCTACTCGCTGACTAGACAGTTGCAGGACATCTGCTAGTCGTGCACACGCACAACTTACTCGTTATTTTCTTTTGCTACAGTCAGGAAGCGCAGCCAAGTGTTAGCCGACATTTACACGCTGCTGCTGCTGCTGCTGGTGTTACTGCTACTGCTGTTGTTGTTGTTGTTGTTGTTGTTACTGCTGCTGCTGCGCTGCTTCCGTTTGGAGCTGTTTTTTCTTTGCGTGTGTCTAAGAAGGCGAAGCTAAAGGCAACAGAACTTGAAAACCAATGGCTTCT